TTTATTTCACCTCAAATGTACAATAATTTCGGCGCATGCGTTTGATCGGCACCGTCTAATCAAAGACGCCACCAACAAAATTTACTGACCTCTACATTGGCTAGACTTCGGCAAGTTATTTATGTGTGGATGACAAGAATTTTATGTTTTTCTGAAAAAGTGTGTATTTGCCAAATCTTGGCGAAAGTCAAGCCAGTGTAGACGTAGAGTTTCTGTTGTTGCTTTGTATTTTGTCACTTAAAATTTTGATTGGAACCAGCTGCGATGTATTTCCTATGTTTAAAGTCTTCAACTACTTGTTAGTAGGCTAACAGCAAGCAAAATACTTTCAAAACTCAAATAATGACTCAAAATATCAATTTTGGTTTAATATCAAATGGCAATATAAATAAAAACTCATAATTATTGTAGATAAACTGAATAATAATATTAAAGTCTGTTAAGCTTAGCCTTTTCTACTTATTCCAATACTTGGAAAAACTGATTTTGGTATGCAAGAATTTGCACTTTATTTACTATAATATCTACAAATATACATACATACATAATAAATTTTATATTGATTGTATCTAATTACATATCCATTTATATGTACACTTAGCAGAAAAACTCTGCGTACAGAAAGTAAATTTTGTTTCGACATATAAAAAGTTACTAAATAAATAGATTTTTTAAATTAATTTTATTTTTTATTTGTACTTTAATTCGTTATCTTCATTTTAAGCTAAAACTTATTTCTAACAGATTAGTAGAAAAATTATAATAATTAAAAATGTAAAAAATCAGTGCTATCGATGGCAGAAAAAGTCTGCGTACAAAACATATAAAGGGGAATTCCTGAAGTTTTAACAGTAGAACTCTGGCGTGCTTTATGTTTTATTGAACCAGTATATCATTATACACAATCCCACGCACTTATTTTATAATTTAATGATTAAAAAGTAATTAAATTTTTAATGACAAATAAAGGAAAAGAAATTATTATCTGTGAGAGCAGTATTATTATTGATCTATGGACAAAAAGGAAAATGTATCGCGAAATTGATCAAATCGTTAAGCGGTCACATTTTTCTATCCAAAGAGTAGTAAACAACAACAGCTTAACAGGATTATTGACCTCGAAGCTGCGATTTGGGCGTCCATTCAAGCTGTCAACAAGAATAACTCGCAGCATTATTAATTCAGTGAAAGATAATCCTCGACTAACTGAACTTCTGTTATATAAATATATTGACCAGACATTCCAGAAGCAAATTCATGTGGACACTGTACACAAAATATTAAAAAAATACCACTACTATGGCCGGTTTGCACGAAGCCAGCCGCTTATCTCCAAAGCTATTAGAATGAAGCGTTTAGCATTCGCAAGGGAGTATTTAAATAAGTCTCCAGAATATTGGAAACGCATAATTTTTTCAGATGAAAGCAAATTTTGTCTCTTTAGCGTTAAAGGTCGAACGATTATATGGCGAAACCCGGGTACAGCCTTTAATGATGCAGATTTGTATCCAACAATAAAACATCGTAGTGGAGGAGTAATAGTGCGGGGGTGTATGGCGAGTAATGGAGTGGGAAAAATGAAATTTATTGAGTCGATAATGAATAAAGTTGATTATTTAAATGTTTTAAAATGCAATTTAAAGAGCAGTGCCGAGAAGTTGGGGTTACAGAATAATTACTTATTTCAACAAGATAACGACCCAAAGCACACGGCAGAAGTTGTGAAGCTTTGGTTGCTTTAAAATGTGCCCAACCAGATCAAAACGTCATCATAATCGCCATATTTGAATCCTATAGAACATTTATAGGATTTACTGGAGCATCGGATACATGAATACAATGTAACCTCCAAAGAAATGCTGAAGAACGTAAGCGACGCGGAATGTGGTAAAATAAGCAGCGATGAGACTGCGAAGCTGGTCAATTCGATACCAAAACGACTTATGGAGGTCATAAAAAGGAAAGGTTATCCAACAAGTTACTGAAAATATAAAATCTTTTAAAAAATAATATATTTCGATGCTTTTTAAACTCTTGTACGCAGACTTTTTCTGCCACCGATAGCGCTGATTTTTCACATTTTTAATTATTATAATTTTTCTACTAATCTGTTAGAAATAAGTTTTAGCTTAAAAGGAAGATAACAAATAAAAGTACTAATAAAAAATAAAATTGATTTAAAAAATTTATTTATTTAGTAATTTTTTATATGTTAAAACAAAATTTACTTTCTGTACGCAGAGTTTTTCTGCTAAGTGTACGTACAGTGGCTCTCTGCTTATTTCATACAACATTGTTTCAAATTTTTAAAACACTGCATCTAAAAAATGAATTAGAAAATAATCAAGTTTTCAATGTGAGTGAGGAAACGAATTGGTGCTAATCCATTTTAAAGACGGTCAACCTCAGCGGAAAATTGCAGAATTCGTTAATTTGAGTCGCTCCACTGTGTGCTCTGCACACATTAATCGATTTGTTATTAACCGATATTAACCATTAACCGATTATTATGTCTTTGGATTTACGCGCTAGCAGAAATGGGGGGTGTATGTAAAGTTTTCTCGCTCACTGTACATTAAAACAATTAAAATTCACAGAAATCTTAAATTGAATAGCCTGTGGGATAACCTTTGCGTTTAATAATCTAATTTAAGCGTTTTTGCATAGATTCAACCAGCTTTGCAGTATCCTGTGCATTTATTTTTTGCTATTATTCCTTGATGACGTTTCTGAACATATCCTTGCTGGAAATCGTGTGCTGCCGAATCTTATTTTCCAAAAAAAACCCACAAATGTTCTATGGGACTATGGTCTGAGAGCATAGTACAGTATTCAAATCCGTATGATCGCTGCTGTATGCTTAGAGCCGTTGTTCTCCTGAAACAAAAAAGTTGCCTCATGTTCTAACATTTTGTCATTTTCTTTCAAACTTGTTTTTGGTAAATATAGATACCCACATTTATGCGTTTTATCTTGTATAAATTTAAGTTTGTCAGCACCATTACTTGCTATACACCCCCAAACTATTACGTCTACACCACCATATTTCACTGTTGAAATCAATTTTTGTTTCATAGGCTGTACATGATTTTCTCCACACAAGTTTTTTATCTTTGATTCCAAATATGCAAAATGAACTCTCATCAGAGAAAATAACTCATTTTCAGAACTCCATGGGTTTATTTATATGCTTTTTGCAAAGCTTTATCATTTTATTCTATTATATCTGGATATGTATGGCTTCTTTCCTGCAACATGGGTATAATACATGCATTTCTTCAAGGTTTTCCGTACAGTATCAGGACATATTTTGTTTTCAAGTATTTCGGCAGTATGTTTAGTTAGTTTGAAGACTGTTACTCTTGGATTTACTTTCACCTGGTTGATTGTGCAATGCCTTCTCTATCTGACAGAATTGGGGGGCGCCCAGTGCGAGGTTTAGAAACGTAATTACTCGTCTCTAGAAAGTTATTTACAATCTTTGCACAGATGTGTTCGGTTCAATATCTTGCCACTCTTCGAGCAGTTCTACCTTTGCTGTTATAGCGCGCTTCTTTAGCGGTCTATCTAATTCTTCTCACAAATGTTCAAAGGGATTGAGATCTGGAGATTAGGACGGTTGCGGCAATGTGTGTTTTACATGGTGCACGAGCAACATAGGCACATCATAAATCGTATGTTTCAAATCATTGCCACTTTGGCTGGTAAATATGGCTGGAAAACTCAAGAAAAACGAGAAAATTACATTGCTCCAACATCCTAAATGCTCTGGTTGTTGATCTGCAATATACTCATGATAATACAGTGTACTCCTGACCGCTATGCGATGAATATCCTTGCCAAACTATCGTTTAACTTCAGCTGCGATCTGGCTTGAAGATATTTTTGGGTTGACCTTCAGTTTTCTTATTATTTTGCTACGTTCACGGTCACTCAAAGTATTATAATTTTTTCATTCTTAATAACAGCGAAGTAACAAGAATTGTGTAAAATAGGTGTACACTAAAATATATTTTTAAAGTGTTTTATCTGTAGACTATATTACCAAGAGACTGGAAGTTCATCGAAGAAAAATAAAACAAAGAAATGGAGCTGGATAGGACACTAGAAATGATACTAGAATGAAACTCACAGGGGTTGTCCCTTTAATAACCTGGATACGATCGGTAAGAGCAGAAAGACGTGACAAAGGTTTTTGGCAGGAAATTAAATAAATAGTACAAGATCGACAAAGCTGAAGGAAGTCTGTTGCTGCCCCATGCTTCACAAGAAAGAATAAGTAATTTCATTACTTGTGTTTAGCCAGATAATGTGCCTGTTTATGATATGTATCTACATACTTGTACATATAAGCTAAATATCAAGGAGAAGAGTTGGAATCTGTTTTCTAATCCCTCTCTCACTTAGATACTCAATTGACTTGTGCATTTGTTAACGATATTTAAACTTCGACAAGCCCAAGACTAATTTGTTTTCTTGCTTCTATAAGGCATTTCTTTTTTAGTTTTTCTAATTGCTTCCTAACTTTATAATAAAAAAATTAAAGAATATGGGAAGATAGGTTTGTAACTAGTTTTTGTTCATAAGACACTTAAATGCATTTTTTGAATTTTTCAAATTTTTTCAAATTTATACGAGAGCGCATTAACATTAAAAGCGTAATCTGACGAATATTGAATTTCCGAGCCAAAGTCACGAACAAGAAAAACTAAATAGAAATTATAGAAAAAGTTATTCAAATTTCAAAAGAAACTAATAAAATTCTCCAGTTACTCTAAACAAACAATCTTTGTTTATTTTTTCAAGTTGGCTTCTACAAATTTCTTCAATGTGCATATGTGCATAGCACATATTTTGAGTGCTGACTTAGAGTGCAACAAATGGTTCTTTACGCTGCAGAATTGATTTTACATTTTATAAGAAATCCCCAATATTAATATTGTACATACCTATAGTTTATGAGTTTTTTAATCACTAAGTTTTATTTTTCATATTTTTAGCTACCAAAAGCCTGAAAGAAAACTATATGTTGAACCAGGACGAAATAGCTAAAATAAATCAAAGATGGAAGAAGGAATATGATTGGATGCAGAATATGGAAACGGAGAGTATTGTCGGTGGTATAGTGCTTACCGATCTCGAATTTGTAAACTATTTGAACACAAATCATTTATGGCGTCCTTTACCAGTAATAGTAATGAATTACTGTAATGAAGGAGATGTTCGTAAGATTTTAGAAAAACCGGAAAATATGAATGGGTTGCCAGAATTTGAAATCAAAGAAATTCTTCGTAGTTTGTGCGCTGCAATAAAATATATGCACACAAAATTCGAAATAGAGCACAGAGATCTGAAACCCGACAATATTGTTATACATCAAGATCGGGTAACTCGTAAAAAAATGTATAAGGTACGAAATAATTAAGATAGAACACATCAAAGTAAAAAATTATGCTTTTTAATTGTTATAAAAATTAAGATAATTTTTGTTTTGAATCATCACGATTTATTGAAAAGTTTGGATTCAGTGTCTCAAGTTAATAAGCAATACTTGAAAATTGTATCTACATAGTAAATTTGTATTTAATTAAAAATTGCAATAATTGTTTAGAAGGTCTGAAATATACCACTCTGTTCGTTAGCTGCAAATCATACTCCAATAAAATAGTTTTTAGTTTTTTAAGGTCTGAGATAAAGTCACAGAAGTCAGATGGAGATAGAGGAAACAAATTTATTTGTAACTTAGTTCATTGTTTTAGCAATGGTTTTTTCAGTTGGGAAAAATGTTTTTTTTTTTTCTTCTATAAACCGGAAGTGGTATTTTTGCTTCAATTTTAGTTGCCATAATTTTTGTTCATTGTCTAATGGTTTTTTACAGTTTAACGGTAACACACTTTGGAGCCATAGACTCTTCTTCACATCACTCCTGTACGAGCGATTGAACGGCTTTATCCAAATTTAGTGGAATTTGTAAATTGACAACAAAAAGACAATCCATCTTAACCCATGCCTCATTATCTAATCATTTTTTTCCATAGTTTTCTGCAGATTACAGCATTGATCAAATCTCGAATGCTTTTAGATGTTGTCATCGTTAACTGTCTATATCATTTTATAGGCCAATATTCTGAATCCAAAAGTTACGATTATTTCAATAAAACATAATCTTTGTATATTTTGTTTTTATATTAAAGTTTGATTTTAATTCAATCTTAATTTAACGTTTCTATTATTTTGGAATGATTTCTATTATATAGTTAACTGATTTGGGATTTGCACGAAAAACTGCAACATCTAAAAATACAATTCTTAAAAGTGTTGTGGGTACAAGACATTATTTTGCACCAGAAATTTTAGATACAAAAAACTACACTAATAGTGTAGACTATTGGTCTATTGGGATTATAGCATATGAGCTTATGACAGGATCCCAACCGTTCATACCTCATGCCCCACTGCCTGCGATTATAATTAATGTAAGGAAAAAGTGTCGAGACTGCATTGCTATTACAGAGAATGTTAACAAGTCGTCAGAATATATATATGAAACAGAATTGCCGAAACAACAATTTTTAAGTAGTGTCTTTAAAACAAATATGCAGTATTGGTTGCGATTGGCACTAGATATAAGTCCCAAAACCCGTGGATTTGACTTAAATCAAAAGAGTTTTAAATTTTACGAAAGTATAGATGAAATTGTCGATAGTAAAATTTTGACAATATTTTATTTAAATGAGTGTGAATTTTTATCTTATTGCATAACACATGAAAACTTAAACGAAAACTGGATTAAAGTACTCGAATATATTGCAAAAGATACTGGTACCGCACAGGAGAGATTAATTTTGATTCTACCATCTGGTCATAGAATAGCTCAATTAACACATCAAACAACAATTGGAGATTTGTTTATGGAAAATTGGCAGGATACAGCCGCAAGTAATACTCCTCCAGTAATGCTATATGTGGTTGGACATAAGTGTCCTTTTAATTTGTCACAAAAATATTCGCCGTCTGAGACGGTTTTAAAATGTGTCAATATAAAAGTGGATAATAAAGTAAAAAATAATAAAGTAACTATTGATGAATGGATTTTGCGTGATTACAAACGAGAGGCACATTTTATGTTAACTAAGGCACAACGTATCTTAGAAGCATTTGCTAATGGCATTTTAGAATGTATTTTAACAATCGAAGATGTATGTCACAATAATAAAGCATCATTAGATAATTCACTACAAAATATAATATTTATGAAAGGAAAGATACATCAATTTACTGATGTGATAAATCATATGATCAATGAGGTAAGTGTATTGTTTTTGTATATTCTAAATGATCTAGTCCAACATAAATATTTTTCTGTATATCTTACAGAAATCATATAATGAAGAATTCATTCATAAGTGGAAGTTAAGAGCCGAACAGTATAATACCTATATGATGCAAATTGAAAATATGACAGCACCCTTAAAAAATCAATTCAATGTTGTACATTCAAATGCAAAAGAACTGGCAAAAAAAGAACTTTGTGATAATTTAGTAAAAAAGGATATATATGAAATGTAATTATATTTATTAATTCAATTTTCATATTATTTTCTGATATGATTTATTTTAGAAAACAATTTGAAAGATGTATGACATCATCTACTGCCGCAGAGAAGAGTGTTGTACTAGAAATGTGTACAAACGCTACATACGTTTGCTTTAATACATATGAAGATGGTTTTAATAATAATAATGAACTTAAAACATATCTAAATAATGCAATGGATTTGTACGAAAAGTTCACACAAATACGTGACATAGAACAAACAAGTGCACAACACATCATCTCCTTGAATACAAATCTATTAAAGTCTAATGAGGAATTAATTTCCGATTTAGGAAAGTATAATCAATTGAGTAATATAACCAATCAAGTGCATTCATTAAAAATTGATGGTGCCGGGTTACAAGACATAAATTCGTTTGATTCTATATGCAACATATCGACATCAGAGCTAATCGGAAACGTCTTAAGTGATATGGTTTTGTATGTATTAAATTAATCTAATTATTCAATTATTATTTTAAATAGATAATTTAATTAGATATAACTCTCAAACATTTATTTGAAGTATAGTACAGTTATTATTTCTAAAATAAGAATAGGTCTTACCTAAAGTTTAAATTGTTAGCTTTTAAACAAAAAAATTAACCAACTAATCTTAATTCTTAGGTAAAAACAACATAATTATTATTATTAGTTATTTCAAAAATATTCAACTAAACCAGTCTGCAATTAATTATACAAGTCTTCATTATATTCATCTCATGATCTATTCATGTTTCTTGCCTTGGAAGTTCTCTTCACGCTAAAACAATAACAAAAGATTTTTGTTCATTGCAGTACATCGTACACTTTTATTTATTTTTTTAATTGAATTTATTTAACATAATAAACATATATTAAGCATATATTTATTAACATATTAGTCCTCTTAAACTAAGCAATTGCGTGGATGACTCGCTTAGATTTTCACTGCTGAAATCAACTATTCTAACGGAATTCATGGCACTTTGATAGGAAATAATTACTACTGAAACTGGAAAAATATTTTTTTATCAAAGGAATTAATCAAATTTAATCATTAAATTAAATAAAATTATTCACTTATGTCTTCCATTTTCTATATGTTAAATATTCCTCAGAAAATGAGCAGAGTTGTTTTTGTTATAAATAGCGTGTATTCTCTTTTTTTCTTTCCATGAGGTATTCAATACTTAATTGTCAGAAGTAAAATGCGGTGACCTAAGTATGTTATTCTTTGCTTTATAGTTTCAATATTGAATTCTGTTGATTTTTTTAACTACGAAACCTAAAACGAGGCATATGACATTAACGATACAAATCAAACTAAGTCACAAACCAATTGCGCCCAAAGCCATTTCTCTGTATGGTACCCCGATGTAATATATATTATATGAAATATGGAAGATATTACACAAACAAATACATACATGGCTTACGATATGGTTGGGTAAAAGCAGGGTGAGAATAAGGAGTTGTTTGAGATAAAGAATGTGTGAAAAGGTTGGTTGGGTATTAATTTAACCTAGCCTGGGTGGACGTGGACAAACCTATCCACTTCAATGGATTGCTGCCAAAGAGCGATGGGAATAAATTGTCGTGTACATTGGAACATCACAGAAGTAAAGTTGCAATCAGGGCATACATTGGAAGTTGATATAAGTATGCGCGACAAGGAACTGTGTAGCACATAGTTAACACATGGCTATATGTATTTATGTATGTATTTTTATATACTATCAAATTATGTATCCCACAGTCTTGTCATAGTTTAGCTAGACTTATGTAAGTACTGACATATAAAACTAGGTATATATAACTGATTTGTGTTGAATCTATAGTTATCATTTGTCTTAATTTTATCATAGTTTTTCTGTTTTCATTATGTATCTACAAGATCTGTTTAGGTACGCATTTCATAGTATCTATATAACTTTGGGTAATATCTATATTACTGGTTTGGTTTTGTCACAATTCCATATTTGTGCATATGCCTTTGTTTTGATGTAATTGATTTAATGAAGGCATTCTGATATTCGCACTATCCTATTTATTAAAATTTATATACTTAATCATTTCAAAACAAATTTTCATGGATTATATGAATATTTAAACATAAATATGTCTATTTAGTTGAAATGATTTATAGTAATATTATTGTCCATTGCTTCATTTATGAGTATTCTATACACATATTTATTGTAGGTATATAACAGTTTTCTAGAAATGATTGAAGACTACTTTACAATGTTCTTAGTAAACTTATTTCAATAGGTAGATCACATAATATATATTTATAATAATAGTAGTAAAGTCGGTTTTATTTAACAATAATTATAATTGATTAATTTTTTTGCACTTATTTTATTGATAAACTTTGAAAAATTATAATTTTATGTAAGTTTTGATTTTTTTTCTTTTTTTTCAATTAAATTAAATACAATTGAATTTAATGTAAACTTAAATTTAAATTATTTTTCTATTATTATTTGTTCTAAATATTTTTATTTTTATATTTATTTTAGGTTACAAAATGAAATTGACGAAGATATATCGTTGACTCAAACAGCTTATAATTAAAAAACTGCGATGCATTACTTATAGATTACTATTAAATAGTAAACTTGAGTTTTTTTTTATTTTATTTTAAAAAAATTTTTATACTATTTAAAACAAATTTTTAAAAATTTTAAATAAGTTTTTTACTATTTTAAATACTTATACACTTGTTTTATTTTTATTATTATTGTTTTTTTAAATATATGTTATGCTTTAACGACTTCATAATTGTTATTTGATATTGTTATTAGTTTATATTATATATTGTATTATAGTGATCATTATACTTTTTAATTACCACACAAAATTAAATATAAATATTATATTGTTCTTCATATAAAAATTTTATTATATGTATATACATATACAATACTGTATTTTTAATATTGTTTTTACTGCAATGCAGTAGTTGACTATATGTTTATTAAAATAAAACCAATTTTATTTTATTAAGCTATATAAGCTTTTTTATATTAAGAAAATTTTTTATTTTACCTTTTAGCCTTGTTAAAGTAATAACGTTTACGTTAAGAGTAATTTTGACTTAAATTCAACAAATATAAGGAAGGAATGAAAATAATTTTATATATTTTAATAAAAATTTTAATAAGTAATTTTATATATGTATATATTTACAGGGCAAAGGACCTAGTAGTCCAGTTCCTTATTCTTAGTTAATTTTAAAATTGGTTTAAGTGTTAACTCACAAATATATATATATATATATATATATATATATATTAAATGCTATTAAGAATATTATATTTTATTTTAATGTTAACAACAGCATATACACTAAGTCATATTGTAAAAATATCGTTTTGAACTAGACTATATAAGCTATACATAAGCTCTAATGTATAAAAATTATTTTAAACTGTTTTTGTACTAAAATAAATGATTATAAAAAAACAAAAAATTTAAGTTTTGAATGTTGCTTATTAATATATTTTATATCTTTTACTATTTTACTATTTACTTTCAACCTTTTGTCATTGGCAGAAAAGTGCAAGATTTGCAATGTCAATGAGATATGCTTCGTCAACCAAGTTCACGTTGAGAATGAACAGTTTTAACTGTCTTCGGTCAGCAAATTATGACTTTATTAGCTTGAGCTTCTGAGACAAACATTACAGTATATAAAAAGTTATTGCTAGAGTCATAACTTTAAACCGAGCAAAATGTATTACAGCAAAGGACATTTTACTTTACTTCTATTATTAGTCCTGCAACAACTGGTATTTGCAGTACCCTACTATGATAAAATGTATACGAAATTGCGTAAGTAAAGATTGAAATATTTTTTTATTAATTATTAAAAACTTTTTATTAACTTTAATTATTTCTGTGTGTTTAAAGCTTCCTTCATAAAAGTATGTCATCGCAGCGATCCACAGTTGAATATGTGTGCACGAAATTCACTAAATGATTTAAAGGAACGATTTATTGTTGGTATCCCCGAACTCTTTATACCACCCATTGAACCTTTAGTTATACCAGAAGTTAAAATGGATCAAGATTCGGGTGCTATATATTTACATTCTACTTTTAAAAATGTTAAAATAACTGGTCTATCAAACTTCACATTAAATGATATAACTATTGAGCCAAAAAAATTAAAATTCTCTTTAAGCACAAGTTTTCTAAAACTTTCCCTCAACTCTTTATACATAATGAAAGGAAAAATTATGATGATGCCACTTGTTGGACAAGGCGGTTGTCAAGCTAACTTGAGTAAGTATGAGTATAAAGCCGAATATCATAAATATTACTAAATATTAACCAAATTTAATTTTTTAATTCATAGCTGACGTGGAACTCAAAACGGTGATTATTGGACAAAAGTATAAAAAGAACGGTGTCACATATATTAAGGTAAAAGATATAAATCTTAAATATGAGTTGGGTAAAGCTGAAATGCATTTGGAAAATCTATTTAATGGTGATAATGCTTTGGGTGAACGTATGAATTCTTTTCTTAATGAAAATTGGGAATCACTTTCGGACGAAGTACGACCTTTGTTGGAAAATGCAATGATTGAAGTAATACGCTCTTCGACGGATAAAATTTTCGATGCTTATAGTTATGATGATTTATTACCTGAGTAAATTATTAAAGATTATAAAAATGTATAAAATAAAAGTAGAAAAAATAAATCCCTATTTGTGTTATTATTGTAAGCAATTATTATATCATCTTGTGATTGATGATATATAGCAGAATAACATATGTATTCAGAAACTTCACTTACAAGAAACTATTTTCTTAATTGAAATATTTTTCCAAAAAACCAGTGATGGCAATACTTCAAAAACTGTATGCTCAGTCAAAATTTCGATTAATTAAAAATAATAAAATTCTGTTGTAGTTATTTAATACTGTTCAAAAACCTTCCTTATAGGCTTTTCTTTTATTAAATTTATTTCAAAAGAATAATAAAATATACTTCTGAAATAACCCACTCCTATTCTGAATGAAGTGATGTGATAATAGGAGTTTCTTATTTTCTATATTCTGAATAAAATGGGAATGGTTTTTTCCCCTATTTCGTACCAATCTTTTCTCAAGCAAGTTGTGTGGGGGATTAGTTAGAATAGAGTTAAAAAGAGTTTAATTTAATATATAAGTAATCAATAATGATCAGCTTTTCTAGTATATTTAAATACTTGTTTATTTCATCCGCACACATTTTTTCTACAAATTTAAATGTTAATTTAAAACATTTAAAACAATAGAATTATGGAAAATTTAAAATGAACGAAAATTTAGGACGAAATTGAAAACATATTAAAAATAAAAGGACTAATACTTCATATAAAACATTAACAATCCCATTATTGTTGCATTAATAAATAAAATATATTATTTTTGTTTTTGTTAAAAAAAGAAATAAGTTATGTGAATATATATAAAATAAAACAAACAATTAAAATAAATAAAATAAAAATAAAAGTTTTTAATTATGCATCAAATGCCGCCAAAGTTCAACAAAAGAAATTTGGATTTTTTGTTGTTCCTACATTTTAAGGGAAGTGGATTTTTTGTTGTTCCAACATTTTAAGGGAAGAGCTGCCTTCCGAGCAATTCAAAAAAGGGGAATTAAATTTCAGGGAGAAATACATTTTAGGAGAAATTTGTTTCCTGGGAATATTCAGAATAGGGCTGAACATGGCTAAATACTTCTTCTAAAATTTAGACCTATACACTCAATTAAAATGTTTTTTAAAAATAGATTTCTTTATTTTTTAGACCTAATATATAGCAATAAATATTAAAACAAATATATACAAGATTTTTACGAACAAAAAAATCACAGCAACCATAATTTTGTAGGCATTTTGGAGAATACATTATTCCATAATCCATGAAAGATATCAGCTAATCCACTTTCCAAATCAGGGCGTAATTCCGAAATAACTTCATTTGCATTTTGATTTAGAAAATTATTAATTGAAGCCGCCAATATATCATTACCGTTAAATAGGTTAGTTAAATGTATGCGCATGGCACCCACATGAAAAGTAACCTTCATGTCATCAATATGTATAACTTCCTAGAAAATGGAATAAATCAGACAAAATAAAATAAATTAATATATTAAGTGTAATGAATACTATATGTAATATTTTTTTTTACTTCAGGATCATTGATCAAATGTATTTTGGTATTGACAGCTGTTCTGACATTCTTCAGTGCCATTCTAACGTCACCATTGCCTATGAGCGGTAGCAGTAAAATGTTACCTTTCAGATTATATTTAGCACGTATCCGTAATATTGGTAATTCTAATTCGAAATTCAATAAGTTTTTGTTTAAATCTAAACTGAAATTTAAAATATAAAATTTATTCTTAATATGCATATTATGTTAATGCCTTTCGATTTGACAAAATTCTTACTTTGCTCTACGCACAGTTGCATTTGAGGGACCACGTATAACTAAATTTTGAAACCCTCCAGAAAGTACTAAATTTCCACTTCCCTTCGAAACAGAAACTTGTTCTATATGTAATGGTTCGAAACTCTTAACTCCAATTTCTGGTATACCTGCCGCCAGCGCGGGAAAGCAACCTTCAAAGAGACTGCGAAAGCATTGATTTTCATTGGGGTCATTTCTTGGGCAAGTTTGTAGCCAAGTTGCTGAAAGAAAGAAAGATAAATATTTTAGTTTTTAATTCTACTAGATAATATATTATACTTTTTTAACAAACATTTAGAAATACATTTAGTTATATAGTATAAACATTATCTTTGACTTTTTTAAAATGTTTGAATCTATTTGTATAATTTATGATAATTTGCTTTTGTAAAAATCTTTTCCCGATAAAAACATATTATTCAACTAAATTTTGTTATATATATTTTCGGTTATATATATGTATATATATTACTGCAATAAATTTTAGAAGAGTTTTTTGAAAATATAACCGGGTTTAACAGCCCATTATGTCTTGCTAAGTATTACTAAATTACATCCATTTATATGGGTTTTAACAATCATTGTCTTTTTTTGGAATAATTAAACATGACGTTCAAAATATTTTCTTAATTTGGTGCAGTATAATATTTCACAAACGAATGTCGTTTCTTAAAGGTCAATCTTCCTTCTCTTATTAAGTACAGAGGAGATGCTAACAAAATTAAATTGATTTCATTCTTAGAGATATTGAAAATATCAGACTCTGAAAAATATAATATATCTTAGTATTTAATAAACATCAGTTGAGCACAATTAAATATTTCATATTTCATAAGAAAATTTGATAATAAATAAAAGTATTGTTTTTAGAAACGTATTGTTTCTATTTTTCATTTAACCGAACAATAACCAAACATTTACTTATAAGATAAGAAATTAATATTTAAATACCTTTATATTTCTAACGAGTTAATGATGCACTATATTTCATGCCGCAATGTTTATATAGATATTTCTGATACTGAAACTGCAATACTTATATTTATCAAGAACCGGCAAGTTCGCATTCGATGCTTATCTGACGAAAAGGGGACCTATTGAAGTCATAAAGAAGGAGAGAAATTTGGAAAAGAATGTCTATAGCAAAACTACTTATTTAATGACGATATTCATATCTTTTAAAATACGAATTTTAAACCAAAAAAAAACTATTTGCAAATTTAAGCTTAGTAGACTCAAATTTACCGAAAACTATTAGAAAATCAAAAAAAGTTTTAATTTTTATTAAATTATTTAATTCAATTATGCAAAAATCCACTGAGCATTTGTCTTAAAAAAAAAAGTTCTGATAATTATAATCACTTTCTTTCTTTATTTATCTATTATTTTATTGGATAATTATTAATACAATTTACTATAGACTCTTAAGTCATTCTTGTGCAGAATGGAAATAATGGGCAGCAATGAGAGTCTGTAGATTTTAACAATATCATTCAAAGTATGTTTTCAACATAGCAATCACTCATTTACCTAGGATATTTTTATATTAATAATTTTAATATACATAAAATTTTATTATATTATTTTAAATGTAGTCAAATCGTGTACATATGCACTTCTTAAGTATTTATATAATATTTATCTATTTGTAATATTTATAATTAATAAATATGTCCAATACTTTTATTGTATTTATATATTTTAAAACATAAATGTAATATACTTATGTTTGTGATTAAAACGAGAAACAACTGCATAAATTTCTGTGTGGATAGCCAAGCAGCCATTAAGGCAGTCAAATCATATTGGTTATCATTCAAAAATGTACTGGAATGCAAGAAAACTATGACCAGATTAGCCTGCAACCGCAGAATTTGTATGTACTGGATTACTGGTCGTAAAGGTATAGAGAGAAATGGGACAGTTAATGTTATTGCTATGACTAGCGCAAGACTTTCAGAGAACTAAACGATCGAAGTACTCAGACCTCTGAAACAAATACATAAACTTTTGAACGAGCACATGACAAGGAGAGCAAAGGAAAGGTATCGTAACTGAACCATCTGTAGAATAACTAGGATCATGTGTAGACTTATAAACGAGGAAATAAACACAGAGGATGTTATATCGTCTAGCCAAAGGAACTGTAGAACATTAATTGGTGTATTGACAGGTCACTCTCTGGTGGCATCACATGCGCACTGCGCACAAACTAAACCTAATTCGCAGCGATGCTTGCAGGAAATTCAACGAGCCGGATGCAAAGAAAATTCTGGAGCATTTGCTGTGTAACTGCCCGGCTTTCTCGAAAACTCGACAAAAATACTTTGGGGCTGTCAGTTTTACAGTGCTGGAGCACATATCTGTGGTTTCTGTTGAAATCCTAATAAAATTCGCTAATAACACGTGCATACACACTATCGCATCGATAAAAATACGATTCTGGTCTGGTATCGCAATGGACCTTAATGGTCTATGCGTGACCTTTTTGGTATGCCATCATAACCTAAGCTAACTTAATATATTTATAAAAATTCATTATTTCAAAATTTTTATATCAAAATCTATGATATTTGAGACCCTATGTTTCATATATAGTACAGACATTAATTTTATATTTTTTGATTTTTTTTACTATATATATATTTATTATATTCATATAATTTACATTTAGATTCATATTTAAGCAATAAACTTTATTTGTTATTAATTTATACATAAGAAAATGTATTTATTTAAGTGCTTGATATATAAATATTTTATAAATATATAAACATAAATTTGTGACTTATATTTTATAAATTGTAATTGTTAATATGAAAACCATTGTTTCAATCAGTTGTTTAATAGTTAATGTATTAAATGTATAAAATTTATTTTATTTAATAATATTTTTTATTGTTTTAATTATATTTTTCATTTCATTCATTTGAACTTATGATCATTTCTTACGTCTTTCCTGCAGTTGCGGTGCATTATTAACAATTGGAGGTTGTTTTCCAGTGATTTGAGTTATGCAAACTATGCTAAATATGCAAAATCCCAGTTGATTTTTTACATTCCAATTATGCCACATATTTTTATTATCAGATATTTATGTAATGTTTTTCACAAATTAACAAACTACTTCCTTAATTAACTTTTTTAATTGAGGTATTTCGAAAGTATTTGATTTGGTTATGGTTATTTTATTTAATTTCACTATGTTTTAAAATATTTTCATTATATTATTTTAACTTTTTCGTTTTTTTCAACTATTATATTATTAAATAAATATTTTTTGTCCTTTCGAAAAAATAATAACCTTAAAGTATTACTCTTAATTCCTCTTCAACTTTTAATCACAACCGCTGCCGTCGATGGCTTAAACTGAAGTGTTATTGGATTTTCAATGTTTGGACCGAGCTTAAAATTGTTTTTAAATTAAAAACTTTTACTCTTGTCTTGTGTTTACATTCATGTTTAATTGTCCATTGGCTCAGCTGATTTGATGAAAAGCTGGTTTACCGTTGCTTCGAATAAACTGTAACAACATTAAATACTATAACACCCTACACACTTATAAGTAGGTATACTCCTGCTTGTATTGAACTATAAATTATATCGATTATTATTTGAAAGGTAGAAATTAATATTTCAGATTTTATAAGTTTCTTATTATTAATAATTCTCCATTGCTATTAAAAAAATTATTTTAAAATAATAAGAGACACTAACTAAAATACCACCTTACAAGACTGGGCATATATATGGATACAAATTGTAGATTCTGTGAAGGCAATGAAGAGTAAGATACGCATGTGCTGTTAGAATGCTCTGCGCTAATGTACATACGGAATAGATTCCTAGCGATATTCACCTTTACGGAAGCGGAAATAAAACTCTCTTAATTAGGTTCTATACTACTTTTTATTCAAGCAACAGAGCTTAGAGACTTACTCTAAACCCATAAGGGAGCAAAGTAAACCCGACGGCCATAGTGCCAGATTTCATACAATTATCCGATTGATTACCGATTGAGATTAATAAAGATTAGATTACCCTGAAATGTTATTTGATTCGATATTTGTATTTATGAAAAATATAAAAGTCTACTAAAACTACTACAAAATTGTTAGATTACTTTTATAATATTTGATTTGGCAGCAAAATTTGAGAAATGGAGAGTAAATCATTAAATTTTCAAACAAAAATGTATTAATATTGTTACAGTAATATTTATTACAATAAAGCTTAATCAACCTACTGAATTAGAAGAGTTAAAAAACGTTATATTAATAATATCAATAATAAACACTCTTTAGGGTTGTGTTATTAACCACAAAGTGAAATGGATGATAGCTCTAAGGCTGTAATCTTTTGGAAAAGGTTGATTTTGTATGCGTATATATTTTTTTGTTAATAGACCCCTTCGTAATCTGTTCAATTTATCAAAGTATCGATTTTGAATTTAAAGTATTATAGGCAAAAAATAAAAAACGTGATTCTAGTTTGCTGCCGTCAGATATAGTGAAGACAATGATACGAAATACATTACAAACCCGATTTTATCTATTTTTTTAGTATATTTTAGTATTTTTCTAGTATTTTTTTATTTTTATAAACCCGTGTTTCCGAATTCCTTAGAATTGTACTGATACTATTATATTAAATTAAACTAAATAGTAAATTAAAGCTTAAATAACACTTTTCACAGATGAAGTAGGGCATCACACATGTCATTGTGGGCGCATAAAAATATTTGTAAACTCGTTTATTGATGATGTAAATATAAACCATGACATTAGGCCCGCAGCGCACTACATTGTTGTACAATAGTAACCTGTAACCAATGTAACCTGTAAAAAAATGTTGTTTTGGTAATTTCGGAAATTTCTGCGATTTGCAGTTAAATGTTTTTTTTTATTGGATTTTGAGCGCCGCTGTTGCATGCTCAGTTGCATTTTCTTTACAACATCGGATAGTTTAGTTAGCCTAAGCCTTGGGAATCGTCTCTAAAAATGATGGTCATTAAATGGTATTTATGTGTATTCAATATCTGAAACTTCACCGGTAACAGGTCAGACTTTTTATACATTTGATTAAGCAATGCAAGACATTTCTCATTTGTTATTATCTTCGCAACTTGCCATGTAATGGACCGGACAAAAAATTAAAATAAAAAGTAGAAAAAAATTATATAGGAAATTTACTTCTGGTTTTACGTTGTCGTAAGCCCGTCACGGTCGGAACGGACCAGCAATCGCATATTTTGAGTTCAATATAAATTTCATTCCGGCAATATTTGGAAGTATGTAGCAATGCGGCAGTTGCAACAGTTTTAAAAAAAATGTCTTGTAACATTTTACATATTGTTTATTTCAATTATATAGTTTAAATATATGTATATAATAATAATACACTCGTAGAGCAATTTTTTTAAATATTTTTGCTCATACGAGTATTGCTAAATGGAAAAGGCATTATAATTTCTCATATATTTGTTAATTTTTGTTATTTATTTCAATAATATTTTTAACTTAATTATTGGCTATTAATCAAATATTAACAAATTCGCTATTATTTAATCAACTTCACAGTAATTGAGTAATATCTTGGCTCATAGGTATAGTCTATAAAATGTTAAGTTACTATAAACTGTTTGCTTGAATGAGAAGATATGATTTTTGGTATTTGATGGAAGAGCAGCTTTAGCAATTAACTTACTCCTATTAAAGTACTTTTATTAAATTATTGAAATATTCCTTTTAATTCTGTAGTGAATGTTTTTAATAACTAGCTTTTTTCTTCTCTTCTATATCCGATCTTACAATATAGAATCCAACAAAGAAATCGCAATTTTTTCAAAAAACAAAAAAAAAATGTGTGGTTTAGAAAATTAAAAAAAAGTTGTGTAGAAAACTTAAGATAGTTTAGATATAAATCTATATAATTCTAAATTAATCTTTGCCCAACCCACTATTAAATTCAATTAACCAGAAATGTCAAAAATTATTGTGAGGAATATATATTTTTAGTTTCATATATCAGGAAGTCTATAGTTCTCATCATCGCCCTAAATAAAAATCTGCATATATTGAATAAGAACTCGATGTGAGGCATTACATATGTCAATATGGAAGTTGTATGAATTTTGTTGTGAAAAATTCACATTTTTTTTAAATTTTTTTAATTGGTCATGTATACATAATAAAGGTTCTTAAATAAACAATTCCTTCAATTTATATATGTATTGAGACTATTTATTGCCAATTAAATGTATCGGTAGTCAATCGGTTCCTATACTGTTTTAAATTGGCGCAGTGCAACTTTTACTCTATCAGTAAAAACCATTTGTCAATAAAAGGAAATCGTTTTGTGAACGTAAAAGTGATTCAAAAGTCTTATTATAAACGACTGTTAAGAAAATTTGTCACAAGAAACTGTCACGAAAAACTGCCACGAAAGACTGTTACAAAGGACTATCACGAAAGACTTTTCACCAGAGACTGTCATGAACGAATATCACGGAAAACTGTAACGAAAGACTATGTCGAATGATTGTCACAAAAAACTGCCACGAAAAACTGTTGCAAAAGACTGTCACGAAAGACTGTTCAAAAGACTGTCAGGAAAGACCTGTCTGATAGATTGTCGCGAAAGACTATCATGAAAGGCTTCCACGAAAAACTACTATTATCTACTAAGATATAGTTTGACGGTATTGTAAAATTTTAGTAATGAGAGTCTTTAATATATATTAATATTACTAAAGCGTATTTCAAAACAATTTCTTTTTTAATACTTAATACGTCAACTTTGGCAAAGTTGAAAATCTCGATTTATAAAATCCTACCGACATGGCTAGTTCTAATTAGAATGATTTCTTTAAGAATGTAACTTATAATACTAAATTTATTTTCATATAACACTAAACAAATAGGAAGATCGTAACTAGAAGGCGCATATTAGAAGTTGAACAATGTTTGTTTAATAGTTCAATACTTACTACAAGCTATAGAACCAAATATTTATGTCAGATTCAAATGCTATTTTATCTTCCGTATTTCTGACTGACAGCTACCCAATCATTGGTAATTCATTTTCGTGCAAATTATCAGTTGTGGAAATAATAGCTTTAAGATTACATTTCACATCTAAATTTTTATTATGTATTAAAAAGATTTTTTAAGATTTATAATATATAAATTTGATTAAAGCATTTAAATGTCATCATTAAAATTGCATAATTTCATTGATCATGGCCTATCGTGCTTACAAAAAAACTGAAAGCAGCTTTTCATGTAATTCGACACCTAAAATATGCACTTAACAGCAAATAAAACTGACAGTAGAAATTTATTTAAAAAAATTATCGAAAAATGTAAATAAACAAAATCAAAAGCAACAACTACACGCTGCTTGCATTTGACTTAAAAACAAATACAAAAATAAAACAAAAACAAATAAAGAAATAAATAAACACAAACCAGCAAATAGTGAAGTGCTAAGTCTGCATTCCCAATAAATATTCATTCATAACATTGCATACATATATTTTGTATTACACACATTTCGCTCATATGTTTCTTTGTTTGTATAACAGCAACAATGTTAAAGAGAAAAGTGAAGCCGTGAGAGTAATCAGTGATTAATAAAATTGATTAAAACCGGTGGCGCTAACATTATTCAAAATGCCTACGTGGACCATTTATTTTTTGTTTGTTTATTTGCATATACAAATGAAGTTAAGTCGTAGATAACAAATACAGTTAAGCGAATGTAAATATGTATGTATGTAATTTGGCTTTAAATTGGATTTAGCAAATATTTTTAGCATTTTGACAGCTTCTCTGTTGTTTAGTTCTGTTGTTGGAATCTGTTAACATTTTTCGCAGCTGTAAAATTATTGTTGTTTTTTTTGAAGAGAATACATATATTCGCAGCTTAGCTCTTAAGTTTATTCAATAAACTTTATTGTGTTGTTTGCATATTCTTTGTGAAAGAAGGTAAAGTGAGATGGTGCTACAATTTTATTTCGTATATATTGGTATGTATTACTCTCTTCAATTTCCTAGTAAAATTAACAAAATTTTCTGGTAAAATTGAAGAGTAGTGTATACATTCTAGTAGATAATATCCTTCTAGAACAGAATACTAGCATGCATATAATCTAGTAGAATGTGGGACATTACATATTACTTTTTATATTAAATAGGTCTAATCTATTTAATTTAGGCTATAAATTTCCACCTACTTCACAATTTATAACTTCCATAAATTATTCATCATCCCAATGGTGAATTCATTGTTTTAGGTTGGGTTAGGTTGTAACGCCGATCCTAAGGATCCATCTAGGCGTATTGGCCTAGTTTATCTTCCCGTAAAAGAAAATCAGAGTTCTGTAGTCATAGATTCCCATCTAATTCACAGTCTACGACATAGTCCAATAGTTATTATCCCATTGGTGAACTCGTTAATGTTCTTAGGTTGGGTTAAGTTATACTGGCGATCATAAGGATCTATATAGATTTCTAGCCCGATTATTTTATCGTAGAAGAAACTTCGAGGTTTAAAAACTAATTTGAATCTTTTGCAAAGCTTAGAATGCTCTTTACAGGGCGATCCTGGAGTTTAGAATCCTCTTAAAAATAACTCCCTATAACAGCAGATCAACGCTAAATAGTAACAAAGCAGATATGAGACACTTTCATCGTACTCTTCACAACTATGACAGGCATGATTAAAAAGGGATTTAATCTTAATCTTTTAAGCATGGTTCGCTAATCGGCTATGATCCTCCAACTAACTGACAACAAGATTGATATCTTTATGGATTATATCAATGAGAGTACTAAATTTGTTTCTGAAAGAACCCGTTTAACTTGCATACACAAAGCCCGCCTACATTGGAAAATGCAAACAATGTTTTTATTATGTCAACGATATGCCTACATTTTTTAAGATGTTTCGATTAAATACTTTAGGCACCCCTTTTAGCCAGTTTACCTACAATGCGATTGTTGAAAATATTGCTATGATACTCGGGAACCCAGAGTAGAGTGGTGTTAAACTGCGTCGTCATTTCATTAAGAAATGTGTAGCAATCAAAAATCATCATGGATGTAAATTGAAATGAACTCAAATCTAAAGCAGTTTGGCTATCCGATAGTATGTATATATATATTTCTATGAAATATAGTATCCACCTCCAAATAAACTATAATTTTCCTAATACCAATTACCTCTAAAAAATACTGCAGTTATCAGGAAGCTCATAATTAATCAGAGTTAGGAGCTGTCATTGGTAATGGTTAGTCCGTTTTCTAATGAGGTCAGATGTCTCTAGCTTAATGTTCCAAAATATGTGACTTTTTAAGTCTTGAATACTTTTCTGTGTAACTATTTTTTATTTTTTTTTTAATTGGAGTTAGTTAATAACTGAAAATCTAACTGAAAATCATAAGAAATTTGTTAATTAATTTCTATAACATATAAAAATTTTCTTATATTTTTAGGAATTGTTCGGTTATAGTATGTTTCCACTGGCATCGTTAGATCAGTTAACTTACTTGAGATTACTTGAATTACTTGACTCTCAAGTAAGAAAACTGGTCTAATGAAGTTTTAATTTATCTAGATAATACTATAATAAATAAAATTGTAGAACACCATATTTAAAATTAAATTATTATTGCCTTTACTGGTTAATGTTTTAAAAAGTAAGAACCCTAATGAGAATATAATTCAGATCTATGCCGCAAATCTCAGTTGTTCCTTGATTTATTGTAAGAATGTGAATTAATTGAACATAAGCAGTTATGTGAATGCACATAACTATTTCATTATTTTATTTTATATGAAGTATTTTAGAGCACATAGAATCCCGATAATCGGATTTTTATAACTACACTTTCAATAATGCAATCTACCGAGTATTCTTTAAGTAATTTCTTTTTATAAAACCTTAATTGTCGAAATTAAGATCTTCATTAAAATTTGGTAATTTAAATATATTAGATCCACAATTTGAAGTATTTACTTTAGAAACTTTAGTTAGATAAATTTAAGTTTTACTTTTTTCATTCGAGGTGAAAACTTTTCTTCGTCAGACCAATTTAGTTGATTAAATGAATTCTAGATTTTCTATCTAAAAAAAGAACAAAATCTACCATATGAGCATCAATTATTATTAAATACTATACAAAATAGTTCACTTCACGTTCCTTATTAAGGATTGCGTGATATATATTTTAATTTCTATACGAATAGTTCCATGTTCCTTAGTAAGTGCAGTTCATCCTGTGCCGGATATTGTGGTACATACTTTAGAAAACTACTTGTTAAAGTTAACTTAATGTTGAGAACAGATACTAAAAAAATATTTATCAAAATATAAATCCATTATTATTTAAATTTATTATTACATTATTATTACAAACTTCATCACTAAACTTGATATATATAATAACATATTATTGATATTTTTCATTGTATCTTTTTAATCAAAAATTTAAGAATTTGGTTGATTGAAAAAAATACTATATGAGGAAGGCGCTCCGTAAGGTTGGCTGATGGAAATATGATAGCGACTTTACCCACACAGAACAATAGAATACTGTCGATAGTTATCAAAAAATGTTGATTAGGCGATTACTGATGTATTTTTAATTAGTGATTTGCGGTGTTATGTTTTCGATTTATTCACATTCATTGCTGTAAATCATATGGGAATGATTTAAATTGGAACATCATCTGGCGAAGTACTCTACATTAGACGTATTGTGTGGAGAAGGCGGCATTGCATGTCCAATGTTATATATATTAAGTTATATAAAAAAATTAAATTATGTTATTAGTTTCAATTTAATGCTCTTTGAATTTGGTTTGTTGAAAATTACTTACGTAGTCATACATAGACGGCTTTCTGTTTTTTGGTAATGAACACTTTGGATCTTTACTGAGAGTTATTTCGGGAATGTTGGCAACGTACTTATGTGCTATTTTTGTTAAAATATCTAACTTTGTTTGCGCACTTATAAAAGACGAATTTAAAGGCCCATCGCAAAATTTTTTTGGGGTCATATTTTCTGGCTCAATTATTAATAGTAGTCGCTCTATAATCATTTTCTCTGATCCATTCAGAAAATCTATACCACAAATTTGTTTTTCGGAGGCATTTCGTTTCTTTGGCATAAAATTTTTTTCTACATAATTCTCAACCATAGAGAAGTGATCCAAAGTAGGAATATCTTTATGAAGCTTATCCATAAGTAGTAGAAATTTTGGTGAAGCCATATCGTATATTTGTGAAGATCGCATCAATTCATTCTTTTCAAGTCTTAATTTAATAGCATCAATAATTTCATTATAATTTTTGACGAGCGGAGTTTCAAGAATTCTCGCGAATTCCAAAATTGATACAGGCGTTTTACCTTTTGTTTTAAGCAAATCTTGAGTCTTATCAGATAAACCAGAAAACTCATATTTTTCACTCAAATATGCCAACTCCATAAGATCGCCTAAAGAAATGCTATCAAGTAAAATGTCAAAGTAGATATAATTGACAAAATGTTGAAATGCATTTGGTTGAATATCATTCAATATAATTTTAGAAGCCTCTTTTGATTCCATATATCGCCCAGCAAACATAGACTTGAAGATCTCCGAGAATTGTGATAACACCTTCTTGTGACATGGAAAGTGCCGTATTTCGCCTGGTGCTTTTCCAACTATAAAATTACAATCAGTTAGATTAGCTGGATTTTGTATGAAAGTCAGTCGTTGTTTTGATCTAAAAATACCTTTTTAGTTTTACATAACTAATGTAAGTATTTATATTATAAACTTACGAAAGATCTTTCCAATTTTCACACGTGTTCGAAGACATTGTACCTATTGATAAAACAAAATTTTTCTTATGGAAGTAATAAGTCTACTCTCTATTAATATTCGGTAATGTAGAGGGATTGATTTGAAAGTACAGTTGGATAGAACCACTACAAAAAATGTATTTCTATACATGTATAAAAAAAAATAAGACATGAAAAATATATGCCTTATATTGTTTTTTCTTTTTTGGGGTAAATTTCATGTGACTGCCTTGATTTAGTAGGAATTCTTCTCGTTATACGAAGAAAAAATATTAAAAATATCGATACACAGTGGGGTGAGTTGGCTAAAAATGCGAAAAATATTAAGAAAAGAAGAAAAACTTTTTTCTTTTGTGAGTTGATTAATTGTGGCAATATAATAGCATTTTATGTGGGACACTGAAAATGTAAATATAAAAAAAAAATTTTTTTGAATCTCAGATGTAGTTATCTTCAGCGCAAACCAAGATCGACAAGTGAGTTGGTCATTCCATGAATATAAACATACAAAATCTTCAGTCATTCACGAATACTACTTTTTTGTATTCAAGAATACTCTGGTGTCTTACGTGCGTAGATTAGCTTTAAAAACGTCCTGTACCGAGAAGTCGAATTGACTTGCTTGTAATGACATGTAGGTCAATGTATAGTCAAAACGAAATCCAATGTTACATCTCAAACATTATTTGATTTTCTGTAATGTTCCATAACTTTTTTTGAATGTTCTTTTCCAAAACTAAAATTTTTGATGCTTATGACATCAGAACACATTCTAAAAGTATTTAATAGTGGATTGATCTTGCCTTTAAAATACACTAACAGAGAGGAACTACCGAGTTTCATGATTGCCAAAACAATCATTAACGATAGTTATTGATATCTTGTTACCATTCAAATATTTAAATTTCGTATAATCTCTGTCTTAACTATACTTTATCTTAAGGTTTTTTATGAAGAATTGTTTGCATGAAAAAAAGATATTCCGCAAAAACGAGGCTAATTCGTAAAAGTACAATAGCGCCTTAATTTTTTGGAGTCTTGTTATTTTTTTCAAACTTCAGTGAAGAGGTGATTCACTTCGCGTTCGTTTTTGGATATTCTCTGTGTGGCTGTTTGCAATAAACTTAACTGAGTATCCATTTTTTTACTATGGTGTGTATTTCCTTTAATTTGATACTTGACTTTGTGAACAATTTCTAACACGGATGTAGTTGTTTTCTGCTGATGTGGCATTGTTTTGCACTGTATGGTTTGGCAACATTGACAGTTTTATTAAAAGTTAAAACATCCGGGACACATAATATTTATTCCCATTGAACAACTCTTTTGCTATTCATATGCTATCTACAGTCATAAACAAATAGAACGGTATATACTTAAACGGAATAGATCTTTATCTATCCTTGAGTGAATTATATTATTTAATAAATAAAATTTTATTAAACAAAAATTTTATTATTTAAGGGCGTTATGCAGTTTTGTCTATTTGCTCCATCACGATTGTCACGATAAATACTTCATACATGAATTTGTTCCACTGTGGCTCAATGCCTGAAAATAATTAAAAAAAATTGTGGTGAAGCAGTTAGGTATGTTAAATACTTGTGCTTACCTGTAGAATTATTGCGGTGAAAGTGATCAGAAGCACAATATCAAGAAAAGATTTGATAAAAAGCAGTGGCGGTAGAAATAAAAAACTACAATCCATTAAATATAAAGAATTATTTCTTTTAAAATTGATTTTTAAAGTCAATTATGACGAAAGAAATTATTTTGTTCATACAAATTATTTTTTAATAGAAATAATGAAATAATAATAATATTTGAATATTCTTATATTTAATAGAAATATTTTACTTTTCATCGAAGTATTTTTATATAAATATGTTTTACATTCTTTAACATCATTTGATTTAACATTATTTAATTAATTAATTAATTAAGTACATATATATATAACGTACAATGTATCCATACATGGTCTACATGCAATAAATCTGTAGACCATTTAATCCATTGTACTAGTATGTATACTAGTTTGTATTAGAATTTTTGAACTAGTTAATTTTTAAATATTATCATTAGTTATTATTATTAGTTATTATTATTAGTTATTATTATTAGTTATTATTATTAGTTATTATTATTATTAGTAAGATTACTGCGTATATATAACCACATTGTTATTGGGTTAGAGTTAGTTATTAAACTCATCTCTGGATTATTTTGATTTTATGCAGAAAACATTATGTCTGCCCGGTATAATTACGATTATTATACGACCTCATTAATGACTACAGTATGCAGTGTATTTAGATTTGGCAATTATAATTGGAAATTAACTTAAATTTATATTTTTCGATTCAATAAAGTATAAAGTTTGTCGAAAATATATTTCTTTAATTTCTTTAATGTATACTATAATATATATATGTATATATGTACGAATATATTTAAATAACGTACTTTCATGTAAACTAACAAGTTTTGATGTGTAATTTCAGATCTTATTAACCAATAATGATTTTGGAAAGACACTGGAAACCAATACAAAGGGTAAGTGCAGTTTAATAATATTTTAATATTTAATATTAATAATATTTAATATACTTCAACATTAACTAAAAATATAAATGTACATAGTTACATATAAGTTAAAGTATATACACATAACAGAAAAAGTGTACGAACGCCCACAAAATTTTTTTAAATTTGCATAACTAAAACAATAAACTCATCACGATTTTAAATAAACATAGTTTAATGGTATTCAGATCGAAGATTTTCTTCTCAAAAATATATAAAGAACGGATTTAACAGTTGTAACTTAAATCTTAATACTGACTTAAATATGTAAGTCAGTTGTGAGATTTAAATTATGATTAAGAAATCTGTCTTAAATGTGTTTAAACATCAGCTGTTGTTTATATATTTTGGCCATTAATCGACAATATTTAAATACAAATTTTGAAGTCGAATGCATAGAATTCAAATTCTATATCAAATTAAATATCTTTATAGTATATTATCATTGGTTTCGTTAGACCAGTTAACTTACTTGAGATTGCTTGAATTACTTGAATTTCAAGTAGGTTAACTAGTCTAACGAAGCCAGTGAAAACGTACTATTATACATATATATTAGCTATAACTCTATATATATATATATATATATATATATATATATATGAAGTATATATATAGATCTTATTTTTCTCTATTTTGTTTACAAACAGTACATATTTTAGTTTTTACCCACAGAAAGATGTTTCTGCGGGTGTGTGTAGACATTTTTTGTTCCCCAGACTCGAAAAAAAAAAAAAATACATTAGGAAACGATGTAGCGGATGATCTCTTACGATTCTAAAACGTTACCTTATTAACTGTTACTATTTCTTCACTTACATAAATCTATTGCGTACTAGCTTTTGACTGTTAGATCTAATCTGAATTAAATCATAAATAGCGAAAACGAAAAAACAATGTCTATAAGTACATCAAATTGGTCTTACCTGAAATAAATTAAAAGGTTACAGATTTGATGGTAATTTTTTCTAGCAAAAACTGCGAATAAGGATCATTGCGATGACTGATCACACCACTGTCGTCAAATACTTCTTTCGTCTTAACTTCGCTAACAATCGCTTATATTACTCTGTTTTGTAGATGGCAAAATTGTAATATATCTGCTATACTTTCGCTATATACATATGTGAATAAATATATACATATATATACATATGTGAATAAATATATACATATATATACATATATATATATATTATATATATATATATATATATATATATATATATATATATATATATATATATATATATATATATACGTATACATAAATAATTAATATATGTATATATGTGTGTAAATATATTTATATAATTTCAATTACATTCTTCACTATACATTTCTGTATATTCACATTTCTTGTAAGATAAAGAATTGTTTTTTAAATTCAGGAAAAATTTTTCTAAAGAAATTGTTAGTAATTGTTTTCGTCTTAATAGAAAAAAATTTACTATATTCTTCTTATCTATTCTCTCACTTTAGCTTCTTATTCACCATCCTATTATCCCGTGCAATCATGTTATAATACTACTACAATAACAATTATAACAATAATATGGCCTTCATGACGAAGTTGAATATTCCTGCTATGCAACCGACTAGTTAGTTAGTTAACTAACTATGCAACCGACTACTGATATATAAATTTTAATCTGTTTTTAATTTTTCCAGAAATATTATTTTCCAATGAATTAGGCTATATATATTATTTTGGAAAAATTTAATAACAATATTCCCATTAGTATAGTGTAGTAAGATACTTTATACAACGACACGAAGTTATAGATTGAGTGATATACATATTTCGTCAGATAAAAAACAACGATTTCATTTTAATTATTTTATTGATTTTTCACACTTTCTTTCTTTAATTAATTTCTTTCGTATTTAGGATCACGGAATATTGTGTGTATTCTTTTTGGAATGGGTGCCACATATACTTCAGGAGGATTTTCAATTTTTATTTTAGACGCCTCTTCAATGACCCTTCTGCCAATTTTAGCTAATACATCCAACTTTTTGTGCACGTTTATAACGGAGGACTTCAGTGGCCCTGAGCAAAACTGTTGAGCAGTCATTTTTTCTAGGTCAACTAGTAACAGTAGGCGATCTGCAATAATTTTATCCGTTCCATTTAGAAATTTAGTTCCGCCTGTCTGATCATCACACGTTTTTTCTGATATACAATTTTTCTCTATGTAATTCTCAATCATAGCAAATTTATTCTCTATACTTCTTGTTTCGAAAAACTTTTCCACAAGTAATACAAAACTTGCTGCAGATATATCAAAAATTGTACATGATTGCAAATATTCATTTCTTTCCCATTTAAATTGAATATGTTCGATAATGGCCTTCTGATTTTCAAAGAACGGATTCTCAATAACCTTCGAAAACTCTAAAGCTGTAAGGAAAGTTCCATGTTTCTTTTCAACCAATTTTTTAATGTGTTCACATAACGGTAGAACCATATATTTATTACTCAGGGACGCCAAATGGAATAGATCACTTAAAGAAATTGTATCATATAAAATTTGAAAATAAATGTAATTGATAAAGTATTGAAATGCAGTAGGTTTGGCATCATCCAAGAAGACTTCACAGTTATCTTTTGATTCCAAAGACCCCCCAAAGAACATTGAACTAAAAACCTCGGAGCATTCTGATAGCACCTTCTTATGTAATTGGAAGTGGCGTATTTCATCTGGATGTTTTCCAACTATAAAAATACAATCAGTAACATTCGCTGGATTTACTAAGAACTCCAGACGTTGCGATGATCTGAAAGTAAATTTTCACTGTTCTACGTAACTAATATATGTACATATGTATATTATAAACTTACGAAAGATTATTCCATTTATTAGAACTGGACATTGTTGCAATCAACACAACAAAATTATACTTCAGCTAATTAGAACCACTACGTATGCTCTCTAAATGTGTCCGCTGGACGCACCGTTCGCTAGTGTCACGATAAAAATGATTTTTCTTAATTCTTCTTTTACTTAGGCATAATGCAAGCGAAATCTTTGATTTAGTGAGAATATTTTTGTTATAAGAAGAATTACTAATTAAAATAAAAAATCAATAATACCGGTGCACAGTGGAAGAAGTCGAACAAAAATTCGAATTAAATAAAGCTGGAGAATTGAAAAATTCATATTAGTCTTTTGAAAGAACACAATTAACATAATTTTCTTTATGATATGGTCAAACATTGCTTTTATATATATATTTATTTATATATATATTTATTATATTTGAAAATGTTTATATAAAAGCCTTGTAACACATTTCTTCGCTAATTATTATTTTTTTTCGCTACATTCATTATTACCGTTTTTAATTGCATTTTCTAAAATTATTTTGTGCTTTTTTTCTGCGTTACTGATACATTTCGGTTGAGTTGAGAAGCATGAGCACATTATTGCAGTTAGCAGAATTAAACTTAAATTCATGTTGGTTTGTATGTAAACAATTTATTTAAGTTAATTGTGTTAAAAAAAAAATTATATATTGGACTTTTAATAAAATTTGAAACATTGAAATTCCTTTATACAACTATGTAAAATTAAAATTTCGTGTATTATTTATAAATTTACAGCACCCCAATTTCTATACAAAGTATATCAATAAGAAAAGAAATTTACTTAGTTATGACATTGGTTTCAATATCTGATTTTAATAGTTTAGTAAATAAAGTTCAGGATTTTTATTTTTTTTTAATGATTTTAAAATGTTTATTATAAAAAACCAATTAATGTCATGCATATTACAAATCTGTTATTTACTTTTTTCTTTATTTACTATTTTCTAAAACAAGTCTAAAAGAAATAAAATAATTTATGAATATTTTATTTAGATAAATACCTAAATAATTTTTATGCGAATTTACAGTCAATGATTTAGTAAACTAAATTTTGGCAGGTATTTTGAATGAACATTATACGATAACCTTGAATCCAATGAGGAAGAGCTTTATAAAAAGGTTTAAGCAAAGTTCTATTCGTTTATGTCAAAATGGGTAAGTTTGCATAAAAGTACCTACGTTCCGATAATCAGATAGTTGCTTAATCGAGCATTGCTTCATTAAACATCCCTATTAGCATTATAAGTTTTTCGATGCTCCTTCACTGGGCTACAAACAGTCTTATAAGCTGTAACGACACACTTTCTGTCGCTGATGATGCTGAGGTATACTCAGCCGTCGTCCAGGGGTCGTTGCAATAGAATTTTTATTTTGGAAGTCAAAGACAATGTGATGTAGTAATTCAATTATTTATTTAGGAGAATTTAAAATAAAATAAGGTTTTACAATCTAATTAATTATAATATAATGCTGGTTTGCTAATTTGATGATTACGATTATTTGGAATAATTGTGCTTCGATGATTGTTCCGATTGTTGTTTCCACGTGCCTGAAATGTTGCTGTCAGACGACACTACTTGTGCTAATCTTGGTGTTTTGTCAGAAGACGTCGTTATCTAAAGATTAGAAGTGTTATGCTGGGTTACAGCCTTGGTTAGCATTAATGTTAGGACGTATTACTACCCTAACTCAAACCTACAGAAAATTCTACTAGTCAAGATGTATCATGACTACCTTGGCTTGATTTACATATAAGACTACATATACAATCTACTTGTCAAGACGTATATACTACCTTAACACTATAGTTCTACTGACTTGTTTCGCAAAGACGTATTACTACCTTTGAGAGTTTCCCAACAAGTGCCCTTGCTTGTACAATGCGCGTTTATTTATACTCAAATGACCGAAGCTTTTCCTGTAGCGCATCGGTACATTTGCCGTTGGTATTTTTGATACTTGTTGTCTTTTGCTGCTGTTGTTCGCCTGGGTGTAATTTCTGTGCTTTGTGTTTTCGTGTGTTCTTAAATTCGCCGTGCTTTGTATTTAGTTCAACCAAAGCTTTCACGCTTTGACATTTCTTGTTTTGTTTACAAACGTGTTTATGCCGGTGTTTGTGATTTATTATTTATTAATAAATTTATTTATTTATAAATATTTATTATTATTAAATATTTATATTAAATAAATATTACAAATATTAAAGGTGAGTGTATTATTTATTTGTTTAAATATATTTTATATTACTTGCATTTTCAATGTAATCTTAGGTTTGTTTATTTGGTGCAATTACGTGCATGCGGGGGTGGGTTTATGGTAAGTTGTTTACGTTTTATATTTACAATAAAAATTAACCAGTTTTCATTGTAGATATTAACTCCACAGTGATTGTATGTAGGTTGGAAATTAGTTAAAATTTCCATCCTTACAAAGCTAATGAAGTCCTGTACTCAGAGCAAAGCCTCCACAAAATTTTTAATTGAATTGAAGTTAGAAAATTCTGAATCTAAAAATTTTAGAGATTTTTATTAAAAGTTGTATACATTAACTGGATAGCAACTGGACCTTCTATGCGGTTGCGTCTGAGAAAATTCTTTTTGAAAAAATTTAGAATCTTATATACGAGTGTGTAGCCTATGCACTACTTCGATATAAGAGGAGAGTGTGGTAACTAAAATGTACCAATCATTAAAAATGAAAACTTTAGACTTGGAAGATTTCGAGGCAATTCGTTTTTGAGAGCATATCTTTAATAGACCTGGCACTGTATTATTGTTCTCCATTTTTCGTAATAAGGTAAACGAACACAAATAAAAACTATATCTTTTTGTGTAGATCTAATATTCGAAATATTCTAATTTCTGAACGTTGTTTTTCTCATAAACTGGAATAAACTGCAAAATTAAATCAAAAATGTTTAATATTTACTTAAATTTTTTCTATACTTACACTATATCTTTATCTTGCATATGTCAATGAGTGTTGTTTGGTGTTTTGGATTAATTTTTAATAGTCTAGTCTGCTTACAACGAGATTGGTTTTTGGAAAGTCAACAAAAACGATAAACTGTGCAGAAGTTGGAAATTTGTAGGAAAAAGAATCTAAAAATAATCTATATTTTTTCTGTGAATAGGCGGCTCTGTCGTCCAGAAAAAATAACTTTTAGGGAAGTTTTTTTTTTGACAGTTTATCGGTAAAGACGAATAATGTATTAAATTATCTAAATTTGACGGGATGGATTTAGTTTGTATCCTTTTATCTGATCACTAATTGATGTCAATGGAAAGCTCTGTTGACCTACTACTACAACCAACTTGGCTGGTTGTAGTAGTCATTTTGTTGTAGGATATTATTTTTAGAGATATGTCTATTAATTAATTTTCGATAATTATATATAAATAGTATATAAAAATGAATCTGAACGACATCCATATAAGTCCATGATCACTTTTTGATTAGTTCATGTATCAGTTCGTTTCACTGTAGTGCAATGGCAAAAATGATTAAAAATGCTGAGGTAGAGCAATTATGTTTGCATGTAAAATGTTGTCATTTACTGAGAGATTATTGCGGTGAAAGTGATTAGAAGCAAAATATCAAGAAAAGATTTGATAGAAAGCAGTGGCGTTTTGAATGATTAAAATACATTAATGGGAATTTGAAGAAATTAAAAAAATTGTTAAGCAAATGCACATTTGTTTTGCTTTTTGCAACATTTGTTAAAATTATTTAGGGGCTTTTATTATTTAGTTTGGTTGTTTGAAGTTGTTTCTGTTAGTATAATTTCGTGGTTTTTATTACACAAAAAAGGAATATGGATGTTACGAAAGGCTCTTGAACTTTTCTATTGATAATCTTAATCTTTAAGTAAAATATACTATTTACATTGATCAATAAAAATTAACATACGATCCCCATTTCCGTATATTGAGGATATCATTGAGGATATAAAATTTAAAAATAAATATTACAACGACATTTGAAAGAAATTTAAACTAAACAATATCTACAAAAAATATAATACTAAACACAAAGATCTTTCTACTACAATTAATAGAGAGCGAGCAATTTACAATCTCAGCAGAACAATAAAAAGTATAAAAAATCAAAGCATTGAAGTGCTTTAATATTTTACTATTTTATCATGTAAAGAGTACCAATTTAATATATAAGAGCTGCGAAATGTTACAATAATTAAAGAATATTTAATATAAATTATCAAAGGTTAATAAACAGTAAGAAGCAACCAATTTTACCATGCCTTTTTACGAAATTTAAACTGTGTAGAATATTGAAAGATTGCCGGAATAGACATATACACAAATTTGTTTGAATATAGACTTTATTTGAACTGTTAAATTTAAAAAGAGTCGTATTAAGTTCACTTATTCTGAAAATGTATTACTTAATTATTTTTTTATGTATTTAAGAAAGAAAATTTTCATGTCTTAATTAATATATTCCTAACAATATATTGTTAATTAAAGCTCCTTTTAAAGTTTTAAAATACTTTCAGTATGGGAATAGTTTCAAGATAGCCATTTTCCAGCTTTTCACAACCCAATAGGCTAATGTATAAGTTTTAAAATCAAATTTTTTTTAACTATCGGTATTGCCTGATTTCAACGAAATCGTTATTATTGAAAGTAGTAAACTCTCTTTTATCAGAGAGTTTATAAATCAGAATGATTCCGATTTTCTATGCATCCATAATGTAAGGAGTTTGCTCTTACATTATTAGATTATTTAACTTAAGTACTGATATTATTATCTACGAAGTAATTTATAATCTCACCATCTTCCTATAGAAATTGTACCCAATCATTCTAACGTATTTGTTTTTAGAGAAAATTGTAAAATTTTCCTACCATTGCTCTAAACAACTTTGGCGCCATTGCGTTTTCCTAGACACACGAATTGAAAAACGAATTTTAAAAAAGACTAGTTGCTATTTTAAACAACTTTTCTACTACGCTATATAAGTCCTAGTTGTTTTATGTGGTTTCCTGTCATTAGTCTTTAACACAACAACACATCAATAAATGCCAATACATCAATTGAATGAAAGCATAAATGCTAACACTTTTCCTGAGTAAAGTCTGACCTATTTGACATCGACTTATAACTTATTCATATTTATTCACAAAATATTCTTTA